TAATAAATAAATAAATAAAGAATAATAATAATAATAATAATAATAATAATAATAATAATAACTACAGTAACGTTGGCCCATTTGCTTGGCCGTGTTCTCACATGTTTATCACAGACCTCACAGCAGCTCTAAGGCGAGGGTCCTGCCATGTATAAAGGATTGGATTAATACTGGAGTTCAGTAGAAATAAAGTTGTGGACCACAAGGAAAAACTGTTGTAATGGTTGCCAAGTGATGATTTAGATAAGAGTATAACTGCTAATTTTGGAATCGCACAGACGGCAAGAACTACGGAAACGATAAACATGTTCATGGCAACTTTTTTCTCGCGTCGTAGTATTCCTCGCAATTGCTGGGATGAAACCATGTCTTGCACCTTACGTTTCTGGTGCCGAACAGCCATAAACATTATTATATAATTGGCAGTTGGAAGAATGGTGAAAATGACAACACTTTTTGTCAAAAGAATTAAAGTAGGAATTCGGGGAAGAATGTTAATGAGTAATATTGTTGTAATCCAAGCCAATGTGGTAAACACAGCAACCTTTTTAGCACCTGCGTCAAATTAAAAACAAGAGTCCAAGTTTAGCTATGGCTTCACAGTAGAATGGTGCTAATTTATTGATGAATTATTGATAAATGTGCAGCACTATTGTTTTGCAATTCTAAGGCGCCGTTTACATGGAGAAATGCAAAACTTGTCCCGCTCGGCTATTCGACCTACCCTAGGCGAGCTAACTTTTTCTACATTTCCTTAAAGAACTTGGCGAACCGTTTACATGTTGGCTTGACTAGCCTGGTCACCCTGGCTCACTATTCTCTGTATAAACATTGGCTTGCCCAGCCGGGTCAAGAAGAAGCAATCAGCTCGATTAGCGAGCGTTGTTGTCAGCTCTTGGCTCGGACAGAGGGTTGAACTTTTTTCTCATATAAACGCTGGCTAAAGTTGATCGTGCTGGGTGGTTGTACCTCCAATATACAAACGGGACCTAAACCTATTGCTTTTTTGCCGTTCTCGATTGCCGTCGCCCCGTGGTTACTTCTGCGTTCGCAGGATAAGAGACGACTGGGGCGACTTAACGCTCGTTTCATATAACCACGTGGTCATTTTAAAGAAAGTGACGCGTGCCCTGGTTTCTGAAACTTAACAACTTTATTGTTAAAGGGGTTTCTAAGACCAAAAGCCTTGTACAAACGGACGCAACATTGTTGGATGTTATATGTTGTGTCCGTTTGCACTCCCTGTTGCATGTTGTTGCGTGTTGTTGGGGGTTGTTGCGCAACATATATTTGAAACCGGTCAAACTTTTAGCTACGTGCAAACGGACGCAACAACTCCCAACAATGTTGAATGTGTAATCAAATGGTGACGAGTGAAATTAGGGATTGATTTCACGCGCGTTTTGTCCAAATCCTAATGATTTCTCGAGCCTAACTTTCTGACGACTGTTAAGTTTGTCGTTCAGGCATACTTGGAAGACGACTTTGAAGTCTCAGACATTACAGGCGTCTAGTATGGAAACGGCACGCGGCAAACTGGGTTGCATTGTTTATGCCCAACTCATCTGTCTCGTTTTTACACTGGGCTCTCAGAGGTTTAATGTAGAATCGACGAATTTCACGTCTCGATCATAAAAAAGGGCCAATAAAAAGGAAAAGGTCTTTTAAAATTTAAAAACTTCTCCTTCATTACTGTCTCTCCGCGCACAATGCGCCGAGCCGTAAGACCTGGAGAAATTGTCGGGTCTTAAAGGATTGCAATCTCAATGATTGATTTAATTGCAAAATAAAGTGCAACTGAGGGGGCAATCGGCCATTTTACGCGATAATTTGCGATTGTATTAGGCCAGCTTCGGATATGCCATTTGCGCGATGACGTAATTTTACTACTACGACCAGAATGCTTTAGGGTTTTGCTTTCTTTGTGCAAATTAAATTAAAAGGAAAAACAAGAGGAATCTGCTCGTAGTAGTAAACCGACGCCATCGTGCAAATGCCCTGTTGTTGATATTCATACTTGGCTCCGAGAATGAAAGGAACAATAACCTTTTTCATGCCTGAATCTCTTGCGATTTCTTTTGTTTTATACCCCTCGATCAGCCTCGGAGCCAAATATGAATTTTGATGATTCGAATTTCGATTGTTTTCCTCCGTAGTGGACGAAAATGGTCCTGGAAAAAGAAAATTCGTTACCTCTTTTTGTGACCTTTGCACGATAGGCAAGCGGACGGCACAGAGCGTAACAGCGATCCAGGCTGATTACTGTCAAGTTGGCCAAGGACAATCCTGTTGGAAACATTCTGGCGATCAAAGCAGCCAGGGTAAGTTGTTGTAGATGAAGACACGAATAATCTTCAACTCTTTGAATAAGCATCCACCATGTAACAAATAACGGTTGAGCTACCAACCCAACTAGGCAGTCTGATGTGGCGAGGCTGCATAGGAGAATGTTAGAAGGCCTTTGAAGGGAGGGTGTTTTAAGGACAGTAACAATGGTGGCAAAGTTGCTAAGAAACGCAAAGATACCAAACGGCACGTTTGACCCAGCAACTACAACTTTAATCATCGAGATGGTAGAGCCGTTGGTTGGAACAGGGACCCAGTCTGGAAGATTGCATATATCAGTGCCTTTCACCATAATTTTGTAGCCATATAAGAACTAAGCCTAATAATGTGTCAAAGTAATAAGCTGTCAGCAGAATTTAAGACTTTCAATACACCATATAAGACTATCTATGAAAGAATGGAAAATGCTAATACGATTTAAGCACCCGAGTGGTAGTTCCTCACAACCTGTATAAATCTTCTTATATTAAACCAGTCATTGTTCCCAGTCTCTTGCAAATTAAAAATGAAATCAACTATATAACTAGCAGATCTGCATAGTACGTGGTTTATCGTCTACCATTCCTGGTCGAATTGGAATTTGGAAGTGATGGTTTTTGAGGAGAGGGGAAAATAAGAATAGCCGGGAAAAAACCTCTCGAAGGAATGGAGAGAACCAACAACCGAACTCCTTCCACGTAGTGTATGGGTTTCTATCATTACGGGTTCGCGTTTTCCGTTATGTTCATACACTATCACATCATACTGAAATGTTTCGATATCACAGCTAGTTACTTTCTCCAAATCATTGTAAACACGACAACGACGTTAAAAAGGGCTTTTTACTATTCGTAATCGATCATCTGTAATGCGGACGCAATGGCAAAGAAGTTTTAAAAAATCTCACCAATAAGCTCATCTGCTCAGTAAAGTGATTATTTTCAAGTTTTAAAACAGCAGTTAGCTCGCTTTTGAACAAACAAAAATAGCTTGTCCTCTCAATAATGGTGCATTTGAAAATTTCACATCGAGTATAGCATTTAAATTAAAAAAGTAGCCCACATGTGCTACTAAGTTTTATCTTTCTTTTTCTGCATTTGCGAAGTGTAGTACATTGCTATTAAAATAATAGTTTTCCTCACCTTGTGGGAGATCCTTGTTCACTTTCTACCCTAACCTTCCTCTATTATCATCATCATTTTTTTAAAATTTTGTTCCATCGCTCTCTTAGTAAGTCAGGCTTGCATTGCCGGGGTTTCAAAATAGAGTTAATTTATATATTGTACAGCAAGAAATGATAGATACGTTAATTCGTGAAGTGATCTTGCTGAGTAATCAACGATAAGGTTAATTATTTTAAAACGTCGGCTTCAGCTTTACTTATGGCAATGATTGTTTGAAATCAATTAATATTGAGCTAGCTAATACGTTGGTTATTGGTTTATTTGCTAGGGATATTTTGATGCAATTTATTGCACGAAAATATATATCAAATGATATATCTTCTTTCAGGACCTATTATCGAAAAAATTTGAGTCGAAAAATGAATTCAGATTTTTGGAATATTTAATTTCATGGGCACAACGAATAAATCTGAAAAATTACATGAAATTACATGTAAGTAATCCACTAAGCAGATACAGGTTTCAAGAAAGGCTTGACCTGTAAACAAGACATATTCGGCCCGAAAAACAAGTTTGAAGTATATTTGTTTCATTTGCCAAAGGGAACTCAGTGGGACGTATAAATGGTAGTATGCTGTTGTCCTAGTTTTTTTTGACAATTTTATTTAGAAGCTAAAACTTTGGTCGCGTAATAGTTTTGATTCTATGCAGGACGAAAAATTAGTTTTTACTAGCAACAGATGTCTTGATTCCCCGATTCTAATTCCTGTTTTGTTTCGCCTTCAACTTCTCTCAATTCGTTTTTTATTTTACTTTTATTACTAACTGATTTACATCAAACGTCTCCGTTTTCAATAGTGTCAGCTTAATGCATCAGTTTAATCGAACTTTGAACGTTGTCGGATTTTCCGAAGTTTATTAACTTTTTGGACAAAAACCCCCGTTTTGTATTATTTTAAATACCACGAGTAAACAATGATTTAACCCCCCCCCCCTCCAAAAAAAAAAACAAAAACAAAAACAAAAAGCAACCAAAAAATGAATACTTACTTGAAAATTCATCGAACTTTGTACGTTGTCGGTATTTCCGGAGTTTATTAACTTTTTGGTCAAAAACCCCTGTGTTTTTTTATTTTGGATACAACCAGGAAACAAAGAATCTACCCCCCCCCCCTCCAAAAAAAAAAACAAAAACAAAAACAAAAAGCAACCAAAAAATGAATACTTACTTGAAAATCGTTCTTTCTGACCCATCGTAGAATTTATATGGGAACAATTTAATTCAAACGGGACAGACGCAAATTGTTCTGAACATCTTTAAGTGATGATCGTAACTGTTTATCACCAGGACGCCTAAAATGTGTGCAATTTTACAATTGGTTTCGGCTTCTCTGTTTGTTAGTGTTTGCTTGGAGATGTTCTTAGGTGTTTACTATAGACGTCAGAGCAGCTCTAAGCCTTGGGTCCCGCCAGATATATATAATTGGATTTATAATCGAGTTCTGCATCAATAAAGTTGTGCCCAATAAATAAATACTAGGGTAGAGGCTGCCAAATGACTGAGACAGAAAAAGAACCACATATTTTGGAACTCAGGGGACATGGTGAAATGCAGCTGTCCGAGTTTTTGGCAATTTAATGTTAAAAGTAAAACAAAGGTTGTGTGGAGGTCGAGTAATACATTGAAAATCATATTGCATAGTAAAGTTATTTTTACTCGCAACAGCTGTCTTGATTCCCAAATTGAGATTCCTGCCTTTTTTTTTTATGGCTTTCAGCTTTGTTTTTATTTCACTTATTAATGCATCAATCTATTCCAGTTTCGTCCTTAATTATCTTCCGAGCCAAATGCTGGCCGTTTTTGCGCTCTGTCATTCCCTGGGTGGGGCATTAGCAAATTTTGATGCAACCCGGGGATTGGGCATTTGCCAACCACGGGGGCCCCCAGCCACCCTTGGGCTTTTCATACGATCATGGAACCCAAATTTGGCTAAACATTTTTCTTGCAGATACCCCTTAAAAAGTACATCGAGCAATATGTGTTGCGTATCCTTGCATTTCTTCCGTTCACTTTGAGACAAATGGCTGTCCATTTCTTCTTCCGATAGCAGTATACTCATTCGCCATGATTTTTAGTTCACTCGTGCATAAACGGCTTGGCTGCCGCCCCGCTGCCTGGAAGAGAGGTTGCTATTAAATACCGAGCAATAACCCAACAATGAGTATATTGCCTACATCATCCAAATGTTGCAAGCGCCTGCTGGTTAGGAACAATTAGGTTATTTGAGCCAATCAGAAAAGGCGAAGTGATTACAATGAATATAATGACCCTTTTTTGCTTTTTTTTTACTAAAAACGGTTTTAAGACAAAATAAAATGACAATTATGAAATAAAATCATGTAGTGGTGTTGTGATTGAACAAACAATTAAAAGACGGAGACACAGATCAGACGTACGGAAATAAAACAGCACACATTTAATGCTGAAAGTGTCAGTACTATTTCTCTTGATAAGAACTGCTCAAGGCAGTGTGTTGATGTAATACAGAGTGTGCTTTCGCCCTCCCTTTGTCGTCTTCTCCGCGTAGTAATTGGCGAGTCGTTAAAGTGTTTCTGCCCCGGGAAATTTGCCATTTAACAGGAAAAGAATGAAAACGCTTGGGGGTTGGCCCAAGAGGGAAGGTGGGGGCATGGACTTAGCTTGAATACATCATGTCAAACGTGTCCATTTTCGAATTTGGCAGCCTCAGTACAGCCTTTGATAGCCTTTGAGCATTTTCGGATATTCCATTAAAACTCCATGGACTTCCCTTATTAAAAACCTTGTCTATTGTTTTATATATCACGGATGACAAATATCACTTGCTTCTTGGCGCGAAATTTCAGCGTTAATGCATAATCTCACTGGAAGCAAATATCAGTTAGTGCTAGAAAACTTTAATTTTTACTTGCAACAGATGTCCCGATGATTTCCAAATTATATCTCTTGTTTTGTTTCGTTTATAATTTGCAAAGTGGGTTGTTTTTACTTCACCAACTAATTAATGCATTAGTCAAATCCAGGTGAGCTCATACATACTCACCTACATACATACATACACACATACATCTACCCCAGGCTACAAGTCCCATTTGGTGTGGACGCATTTAGGTAAATAACAATAAAATGAACGAAGAAAGACCGAAAGGAAAAAAAAAAGAAAGAACGAAGGCATAATTATTTATTCATTTATTTATTTCTTTATCATTTCAGGAAGACATTTGTTTACAATTATCCCAATTTTAAAACCCTTTTCCTTTCATTGCAATGAAATATGCCAAAATACTGGTGTACATGCAGTCAACTCCCCCCAAAAGACACCTCCATTAGACCGAAATCTTGTTAAGACGGATACAGACATTTTACTGTATCTATACTCTCTGTTAGACAATTACCTATTTAAGACGGACAACGAACACTTCTGATACCGTCAACGGACACTTGATAAGTGGTTTATGTAGCAAAATACCACAAGACGGAAATTTAGGGTTTCTACGTGACACTAGTAAATACAATTACAAACCTTATACTACTACATGAGAAATTTCTGCAATCTGATTGGCTTAGAGCATTGGTATTTTACCTTAATTTGAAATACCTACATGTGAAAATTACAAACCTTTTGTGGGTAGTAGTATAAAAAATAATAGCATGATTTGTACGTGATATTTGGCATAAATACCACTTGTGATATTTCAAAATTGTCTCAAATTTCACTCGCCTAACGGCACGTGAAATTTCTGGATTTGGCATCCTATTATCGTTAACTTGAGTGTTGTCTACTTATTTATCAATAAAGATTATCATTAAAGATTATCAATAAATATCACTCGTAGTATTCATGCCAAATATCACTACAACTCATGCTATTACCTATACAAATACAGTGCACTCGTCTCCTACAGCTCGCGTCTCGTTGGCTTAATACAAGTTTTAAAAAAACTCCAAAAATTATCCTTATCTCTTAACCTCACGTGAAGAGAAACAATAACACTGTTCTGTTAACTTGTATGAGAGTTATCTTCTCGCTCTTTTAGATGAACTCCTTTAGCCCCGAGGATTTTAAATAACCCCACCATAAATAAACCATTAAAATGGATCAATTTTGCCATGCTTAAAGTGCTTACAAAACCGTATTACAATTAGTTTTGAAGGTAAAACATTTACTCATTAGAGAAGCGAGTATATTTTATTTTTATTATCATAAATGTTGTAACTGTGTTGTAGTTATGTTCTAGTTCTCAGGGTGTAAAAGTGCTACGCTTTAAGACCACTGTAAGCTGTGAACGCTTGCTTGTAATGAACGTTTGATCGCACAGTAAGAAAATGATTCCTTTTTTTGTATTACATTGTTCCTGTTTTCAATGCCTTACACATGTCAAACAGACGTGCATTCATTATTTTATTTTATAAAAACTGGTGTCATGTAACCTCGACTTAATATCAGCCGGACACCTCTCGGGGCGGCTCCTCAATGTTTCCCTATGAAAAAGAGTTTACTGTAATTTGTGTTAGACTGTGGCGTTATCTGAGATCGCAAAAAGAGGTCTTCGGGTGAACGCGTTAAGTCTCTTTAGTGTCCTTTCTGCAGACTTTTTCATTGCTGGTCCTGAAAGGTTAAAGAGTGATATATGGGATTTGCCGATTTTTGACAAGAAAACTTAGATTTTGCAGGCGAGGTGATGAATAAACCCTTGCCCTAAAGACGCTTCGAATTATTTTCGGAATTTTTTTTTTTTTGATTTTCAGGGGCTTAAAAGTCCTCGAAATTAACTGCTCTGTTGTCACTGTTTGGTTACCCATCTTCTCAGATGTTTACTGTAGACTTCAGAGCAGCTCTAAGCCCTGGGTCCCGCCATATATAAAGAACTGGGTTAATACTTGAGTTCAACATCAATAAAGTTGTGGACGATACGAATAAACTAGGGTAAAGGCTAGCAAATGATTGAGAAAAGAACCGAACCACATATTTTGGAATCACACAGATGCCAAGAACAACAGAAACAATTAACATGTTTATGGCGATTTTTTTCTCGCGTCGTAGAATTCCTTGCAATTGCTGGGATGAAACCTTGTCTTGTACCTTCCGATTGTGGTAACGGGCAGCTATGAACATTATTATATAATTGGCAATTGGAAAAATGGTAACAGTAGCACCGGTTATTGCTAGAAGAATTGTGGCAGGAATTAGGGGTAGAATACTAACGAGTACTTGTATTGTGATGCAGGCTAATGTGGTGAACAGAACAATCTTTGCAGCACCTGCGAAAAAATGTAAATAGATTTTTAAAAAAATTCGTCTAAGCTTCTTTCCTCAGTTAAAAAACTTGTGGGGAGATTCGCTCAGGACGTTTCTCCTTCTCCGCTCTGACGGAACTAGCCTACGAAGGAGGCTGGAATAACACTTGAGTATAAATAGAGAATTGAAAAACAGGATATTAAAAAGAACCTAGAAATCAAACCATGTAATGCCTATGGACGAGATAATAAGCTATCATGGTAGAAGCATCGTAACCCGCTTGTTACACCGTTAAACATATCTTGATTAACATATGGCGAATGCTGTGACAATGAGCTTTATAATTAAGAAGGAATTTGCATGTCCCAGTTTTTTAAAATCTTATTTTATATACATTTTTGGTTGAATTATTATAATTATTCCTGATGATTTTGCTTATCATTTCGGGATTCTTACTCCTTTTCACGTCCATGGCCCCTATTTTAACTGACTTTTCCCCAGTTGCCCATCTTTAAAATGTCTCTGTTAACAAGGTAGGAAATGGTGGTTGGGATGATGTGAAAACAGAAGAACGGGAGTTTCCTCTCTTCGTCGTGAGCCGTGTTAGTCTCAACCAACCAATGCGCAACCGCGTGTAAATAAAAAAGACACGAACTCTGTTTTAATAACCGTTTTGTCCCGTGTAGCAATCTTGAGGTAGGCATCACCAACCTCTAAACTCTCCTTATTTCTTTCTGGTTCCTGAACCTTTACTTAACTCTATTCAGACCGGATGGGAGAGGGAGGGCTTTTGGAGCCCCCCTGGCAAAAAAAAAATTGAATAACTTCAAAGCCGTTGAAGCTATGACCACCAAACTTAGCTACTTTTCATAAACGTTATCTGGGAACATTTTAAAGTAGTCGTAACGTGTACGTCAACATTGACGTTACCATGGCGACCGAGTTTTATAACTTACAGCAACCTATGTCCGCGCTTATCGACTTTCGGTCCATAATGTCGGTCAAACACGAGAATTTCTCTTTCGTGGTCTGTGAGTTTTTGATGCTTGTTTAAGAGAGTAAAACTAGACGAAGAAATGAAAATTTCTGTTTTCCGTTAATAGTTTCAAAACAGCTGCTCCACAGAATGACAACGACGACGTAATGTTACTTACTTCATGGACTAAATCCACCGAAAGTACACTGCGAACTAATCACAAGCAAAATGACGCATTACCTTGTTTGGTGACGTTTGCCCGATAGAATAAAGGGCGGCACAAGGCATAACAACGATCCAGGCTGATTACTGCCATGTGGAAAAGCGATAATATAGTAGGAAGCACCCTGGATAGCCAAGAAACTATAGTAAGTGGTTCCAGATAAAAGCACGAATAACCTTGAGCTCTTTGCATAAGCATCCATCATGTAAAAAATAACGGTTGAACCACCAACCCAACTAGGCAGTCTGATGTGGCGAGGCTGTATAAGAGAATGTTGGAAGGCCTTTGAAGGGAGGGTGTTTTTAGGGCAACAACAATGATGGCAAGGTTGCTAAGAAACGCAGGATACCAAACGGCAGGTTTGAGCCAGCAACTACAAGGTTAATTATCGAGATGGTAGAGTCGTTAGTTGGAACAGGGACCCAGTCCGGAAGATCGCATACATCAGTGCCAATCACCATTGTAGCCATCCAAGAACCAAGCCTAATAATGTGTCAAAGTAATAAGCTGTCAGCGGAATTTAACACTTTCAATATGCCACATATGACTATCTAGCTATGAAAGAATGGATCATCCCAATACGATTTTAAAAGCACCCTAGTGATAGTTCCTCAACCTGTACTGCTTAAATCTTCTTATATTAAACCAGACGTGTCTCCCAGAGTCTTTTGCAAGTTAAAGATATAATCATAAAAAATAAACTAAATAACAAACAGATTCACACTGACCTGATTCATCGTCCACCATTCCTGGTCAAAGTGAAATTTGAAAGTGTTGGTTTTTGAGGAGAGAGGAAAACCGGAGTACACAGGGAAAATACTCTCGGAGGAAAGGAGAGAACCAACAACCGAACTCCTCCCACATAGTGTAGGTGTTTCTATCATTACGGGTTCGAGTTTTTCATTATGTCCACACACCATCGCACCAGAAACTGTGTCAATATTACAGCTAGTTACTTTCTCCAAATCACTGTAAATACGACAACGATGCCGTTAAAAAGGGCTTTTTAATATTCGTAATCGATCATCCGTAATGCGGACGCAATGGCAAAGAACTTAAGTCAAGTAATCTCACCAATAAACTCTTCTGCTTACTAAAGTGATCATTTTCACTGCAAGTTTAAAACAGCAGTTAACTCGCTTCTAAACAAACAAATATACAAAATACACAAAAAGTTTGTCTTTCTTTTTTGGCTTTTGCGAAGTGTAGTACATTGCTATTAAAATACTAGTTTTCCTCACCTTATGGGAGATCCGCTTGTTCACGCTTNACATTGCTATTAAAATACTAGTTTTCCTCACCTTATGGGAGATCCGCTTGTTCACGCTTTACCTTAATCAGCCTTTAATATCATCATCACTTTTTTCAAATTATTTTCGTGCTCTCTCTTAGTAAGTCAGGCTTGCAGTGCCGGGATTTCAAAGTAGAGTTAATGAATATATTTTACTTAAAAGAATGATATATGTAGATAAGTTGATTGTTTAAGTGATCTTGCTGAGTCATCAACGATAAGGCTAATTATTTTAAAACGTCGGCTTCAGCTTTACTTATGGCAATGATTGTTTGAAATACATTAATTTTGGCTAGCTAATACGTCTAATTGGTCCATTTGCTAGCTATATTTTGATACTATTTATTGCACGAAAAAATATATCAATTGATGTATCTTCTTTCGATAAATACTATTGCAAAAATTTGAGTCGAAAAATAGATTTCAGATTTTTAAGAATACTTAATTTAATGGGCACAAAAAATAAATGTGAAAAAATACATGAAATTACACGTAAGTAATCCACCAAGCAGATGCAGGTTTGAAGAAAAGCTTAACCTGTAAACTAAGATATTTTCGGCCCAGTAAAAAGAAGTTTGAAGGATATTTGTTTCATTTTCCAAACGGAACTCAGGGGACATATAAATGGTGAAATGCTGTTGTCCGAGTTTTTTTTGTTGTTGTTGTTGTGACAGTTTTATTTAGAAGCTAACACTTAGGTCGCGTATAGTTTTGATTCTATACTGGACGAAATATTGCTTTCTACTAGAAACAGCTGTCTTGGTTTCCCGATTCTAATTCCTGTTTTGTTTCGCCCTCAACTTCGTTTTTAGCTTTTACTTACTGATTAGTTTACATCAAACGTCTCCGTTTTCAATAGTGTCAGCTTAATGCATTACTTTGATCGAACTTTAAACGTTTTCGGATTCTCCGAAGTTTATTAACTTTTTGGTCAAAACCTCCGTTTTTTTATTATTTTGAATGTCATGAGTTTCAACGTTTTTGGATTCTTCAAATTTTATTAACTTTTTTAACCTCCTTTTTTTATTCTTTTGAATATTTCGAGTAAAAAATGGCCTCGCTTCCCCAAAACAAACAACAACCAAGAAATGAATACTGACTTCAAAACCGTTCTCGGTGACCCTTCCTAAAAATGATTTTTATGGGAACAACTGAATTCAACGTCAATACTGACGTTACCATGGCAACTGAGTTTCGGAAGCCATGATTTTTTTGTTTCAAAATTGGTATTTTGTCTTTCTATGATATACATACTGTGATGTTTTTCATTTCCCATTCTGGATTTTTAGGTATGATCTCGTTGAAACGCACGAAAAAAACATCATCCTTCAGCATCACTTTAACCCAGAGGGCTTCTCTCACTAAATCAGTTTTGAATAAATTCAAAACCGTTTAAGCTGTGACCTAGAAACTCAACGAAGTTTCCTAAATTTTATCTGGGAACATTTTAAACTCATCGTGTATGTTATTACTAACGTTATCTTGGTAACCGAATTTGAAATTATAATAAACAATTATTGGATGAGGGTTTTGTGATATCCAGAATAATCAAGGTCGAGGTAACTAGTGTTATCAGCCGAGCCGAAGGCCGAGGCTGATAACACACTACCCAGACCCTGAATCTAATAATTGTTTTATTATATATTGTTTTGAAGAAAATAACGACAAAGGCACTGTCGCAAGGAACCCGCTGAATAATTGTTATTGAAATCATGCATTGTGCACGCAACCTACAAATTTGTCAGTTATCTGCTAGCAGATAACTAACTAATATGGAGGTTGTGCTGATTTCCAAAATTAGCTGCAGGCTCTTAGCCAAGGAGAAGACAGATAGTGAGTACAATGAATAATAATTATAATTATTACTCTTAATTTAACATTTCATTTCTATTAGGGTGATTTTAAGGCATCGGCTCTTTTTTGTCACAGATCACTAAACGCAAACCTTACAGCGAACAAGGTATGAGTTGTAAGTGGTAAACAAGTCGCTGGTATTACAAGAGAATTACCGGCCTAAGAATTGAGGTGGTGTTATGCAGTTAAAGTAAAAAATACTGTCCTTACGAAACAAATATGTTGCCAAAGAAAATACGCGCGTCGAGGAGAAATGAGATTGACACCGGAGAGCCCTGCACATATCATGAAGAGTATTATGCACGCGGATAATATTTGCCTTGAAGTTATAAGGAATTAATGGGCAATTCTATTTAGCAGCTGCTGTATTCTGACCAGACAAGCTTTGCTACTTATGCAAGAGGATAGTGTTTCTTTCAGTTAAGGCCTTCAAATCGCACTGCAGGTAGCTACAAATTGTGGAATTTTTTTCCTTCTTTTTTTATTACGGTGATGATGTTTATAAGGAAATGTTAACTACCCAAATAGAAATGTTTAACCCTATTCAGACCGGGCTTTTTTTTTGTTCCTGCTACCGAAGGGGGATCTTTTGAGGTCCCCCTCTCCAACTTTAAGACCGGTCACTCTAGAAAACAGTACGGCCACCAAAATTACTTTCCACTCACAACCCTCTCTGCGTGGGCCATAAAATTAACATTTAGAGTTATAATTGTCCGGGCGAATCGCTATTTGAGTGGACGAGTATTTGGTGAGATGAATAAAAAAAACGAACGATAATTATTAAAAAATATACTATTAAATAGATGAAAACAAACAAACAAACAAATAAACAAAGGGAGAAAGAAAGAGAGAGAGAAAGAGAGGGAAAAAGAAAGAAAGAACATATATTTATCTTTTTGCTGAAAAGTATTTGCAGACCTTTATACCACCTTATAGAATTTCAAAGATTCCGAAAGCTTTCAGTTTCTATTCCGTTCCAATGAAATATGCCAAAACACTGGTGTAATTTGTTGTGGACTGTGGCATAACCTGAGATGGCGATACCACGTAGGGGGTAAACGCGTTTAGTTTTCTTTGGCTTTCTCTGTGCAATTTTTTTCATTGGTGGACATGAAAGGGCAGAGAGTGAGAATTGGGATTTGTAGATTTTTAGAGAAGAAAAATAGGATTTTAGGGCAGTGCATTTGCTGGCTTCACTTGGCGCTCCGAAAACCCTCTACCTTGGGAAAGATTTTTTTTCAGCTAGTTACACTGTCAGCTCGGAATATAGACTTGCTACAAGTGGAGACCGTGGGAGCTCAGGCCACTAAACTAGGTCCATGAGCGAAACCCTCTTCATTACTTTGTGATTACTAACATGGGTAAATAAACATTTTAAGTAAGAGGCAACTTTAGAAGTGCTCGATTAGAAATGTTCTTCTGTTTGTTTGCGTTCACAATTAATCAAGAACTGGATTACAATTAAAGCAGGTAAAGCGTACCTTCCAAGACTCTATTAATGAATTGATTATTTGAAAAATGTATCCGTTAGTCGGTGCCGTAACTGGTGTCAAATTCAAATCGGCATTCCTGCATGCGTAATGAGCAGTGAATATTTTACGACAACTTCTCTGTATTTGGTCAGATTGAAAATCTGTGAATGGATTAAAAATCTTAGAAGACATTTACATCAAATTCGGGGAAACTGAGCTGGTAGAAATTTCGTAACTGAATCGCATGTGAATTCACGGCCATTACACATGCAAGAATGCAGAAATGAATCTGAAATCTGTAACTACCAACGGATACAATTTTCGAATAATAAATTCATTAATGGAATTTTGGGGGGTACGCATGACCTGGCTTGACTGTAATACTAGAATTCATTAGCAGTAAAGTTGTGGACCATAGGAAAAAACTAGGGTAAAGGTTGCCAAACGACTGAGAAAAGAAAACAACCACAATTTTTTGAATCACACAGATGGCAAGAACAACAGAAATAATAAACATGTCCTTGGTAACTTTCTTCTCGCGTCGTAGTATTCCTTGCAATTGCTGCGATGAAACCGTCTTCCACCTTACGGTTGTAGTAACGAACAGCTGGTAACATTATTATATAATTTGCAGTCGGAAGAATGGTGTAAATAGCACCACTCATTGCTACAAGAGTTAAAGCAGCAACTCGGGGTAGAATACAATTAAGTACAGTTGTTGTAATCCAATATGGTGAACAGAGCAATCTTTATATAATGGAACCGTTAAAGCAGCGTATTCAAAATCGTCGTATTGATCACACAAAACACGACGTTTATATTAGATTTCAAATATACTCATGCAAAGTTTTTCTGGGAAATAACCTTAATAACACCAGGAATGCACATACAGATATAGAACACGGAAAAAAAAAAGATCATTATCCAAAACTTTTTCGATAATCTAGCTAAACGGATTGAATATCCCTGTATCAACGTGCATCAGACGCCGCTAATCAGCACTCTTGGGTGAAAGCTGGTACTTTCAAATGACCCTATAAGCATATTATTATTATTTTTTGAGACTGCTCGCTTTCGCCTCAGCGTCCTCCGCATTTTGATTCCACTCCATTATGGCTTGAGCTGCCCAGTACTTAAACTGATACTTCAGTAAAAGACAGGTACATGCCTCTTTGAAAGCCAACCTAAACTAACTGCAGCAATGATTCTAACAAAAAGTTAAGAAATAAAAGGAAATATTGTCTTTTCCCTTTTCGCATGTCACTGAATGCGACTATAATTGTGAAGGATTCGACACAGATGATAACTTTATGGTATGTGCACGGCTGCCTTGCCAGCTGCAGGTTTATGAGAAACCTGTTAGTGAAGTTGTTCGGGGATATCCACCTTCAAACACTCTATTTCGAGGATGTTAAATTTACATATTCTATGCTTTACTCTGAATTACACTTTGGCTCTAATCTTTCTGTAATACGAGAGAGCCTTAAATTGCCAAAAAACTGAAAATAAAAATAATAACTCCATTATATGCCTTTAGCTGGCTCAAAAATATAAAATTACAATTTATTTATAAGTTATCAGTTGTCGGAAACAAATTAATGTCTGTCATTGAAATCAGGTGATATCTATCACGTGCAAGAAACCTTGGCTTGACGCTATCCTTTTGATTCCCTAATCTTTTATCAAAATTCCAACAGGCGTGTTTAATTATTTAGAGCGTATTATTTTCTGGCTATAAGACTCCTGTAGTGTCAATTCGCAGTTTCCAGGGACGTAATATTAGCATCAACGTTCTATCAATACAAAATGAATTTGGTAAAGCGTAGATAGGGGCCAATTAACATTCTAAAATACCCATTTACTATGGGTCTCATACTTTTGCAGAGTCTTAGCAACCCTTAAGCTGTCTCGCATTTTTCGCGTAATCCCCAGCTTGTACTATGCACCAACGATCTTGCACGCAGATTAAAAGTGAAAAGAAAATTTCCCCATCTCCTCCCTTCCCCCATATACCAGGGATGACACTGAACGAAGGCCAAAACGCAACATCCGTTCTTCATCCATTTTGGGAAGGAAAGCCACAGGTCTTAATTATCCGTCTATTTTGTCAAGGAATGTAGCCTACATATTATGTCAGCTGTATGTGTTAAAGTGGCTTAACTTAAAGATACGAGAAAGTGTCTTTTCTTGAATTTAGTTTCAATCAAAAGGCTTTTGGATATCCCACATATCCGAGCCGTATATCCGCATATACATCAGTATACATAAAACGTTTCTAATATGTGTACACAAATCAATTTTTGTAAGCATGGTCTTCTCTCCGCCTTCATGAAACGCTTTTCAGGTAGCTATCCCCTTAGAGGTCATGATTGTAATATATAGTGATTAGACGCAATTTTTGCAATTTTCAAAAGAATCATGGCATCTGGGGCCCGTTTCTCGAAAGTCCCGTTAACTTTTCGGGCCCGAATTCATATATTCAAATCCAAATAAAAAGAATAAGAGCGCGGGTCGTGGTTCGCAAACTACTGCATTTTGTTTCGTTAACTGATAGTTTTATCATGTTAGATGCAAAACTATTGAAACCTCGATCTTTAATGGAAACCGAGACAGCTTACCGGGCCCGTTAATTATCGGGACTTTCGAGAAACGGGCCCCTGGTCGATTTTTTTGTTGACAGTACTTCACCGAAGACGAACAGGCCACTGTCACGAGATTTTCATTGTACTTTGAAACTTATTGATTGAATTTTTTTGTTAGAGAAAACAATCTTGGTGACACTGCCCTTTCAATCCTCCTAAAAAACTAAAACAAAACATTCGTGCTGACATATCGCCACCTGAATTTGTTCCAGATTTCTTATGTTACAGACGTCAGATATAGTTACTATTAAATGCTATTTCAAGAAAGAATAAAAAAAAGTTTTAATCTCAAAGTTAATTACGCCGACTTTTAAAAGATAAGAAGAACACATTCGTCTCATATAAGGGAATCCGGATTCCGGATTCCGGGAAATTTTTGCTTGTGGAATTCGGACTCGGGGAAAATTTGCCGGAGAATCCGAAAACCAGGGCTTAATGGAACCCGAAATACCGCCTAAGGAATCAGGAATCCCAGTTACGATTCGAACCTAGAATCCAAGTTCCACGTACAAAGTCTGGAATCCAGTAACCGGAATCCGGAATCGAATCCGTGGAATCCAGAATTTAAGACTATCATGGATTCCTTGTGTGGGGCGACTCACCTAATAAAATCCCTGAGGCTGAAGATACGTTGTTGCATTGCAAATGCGGCTTCTGAGTGTTAAATAATTCATTTTGGCAATGTTTATTCATATACACGACCTACTTGTCATACTTGTTTTTGATTCGATGATGTTGTTATTTTCTTATTTATGATAATATGATGATGATTATTATTTTATTGTTTTACTATTATTATCATCATCCTCATCCTCATCATCGTCATCATCATCACCATCATCATCGTCATCAGTTAATGCCTAAAGTTGGTGACAAGTGTCGGCTCACTTCAAGAGTGTGGAACTAAAGCGGTACTGAATCGAGGGCAAAGTTTAAGTTGATGCTTTGATTTGAAGGATTCCTTTGCTTTAAGAAAATGCCTCTTTGTTTAGGAGATAATTTTGATCATAGTAGTTTTAAGTTACGTCTGACGCTGACTATTGCTAGGCGGAGATAAATGTTTTGCCTTCTGCATGCGGAATTTGCCAAGGCTGTGTACACAGTGGGACCAAAAGGTTTGTCTCTGTTCAAGTTGCTCTTTTGTATTTTTTCATTTTTTTCTAAGAATCCAACAGGGTACATATTATCAGTATTTCCCTGCGCAGGTTAACGCTTTCCTGAGCTAAATTACAGATCCAAGGTCCATTGATAAGCTGAAGCTCATAAAACAAACAACTTGCACCAAGGTTTGCTTGCACACAATAACTTGCCAGCACTAAATTGTCTAAGTTCAAAGCCACGTTAACACATCTTTTATGCTCCTTTACGATGTGCTAAAATGCTTCAGTCTTTATCTTTATATTCTGTCGTCTCATTTAAATTTTGATCCGGAGTCTTGTGGGTGCTTTTTTGATTGCTCTTCGAATTACTTCCGTAATGGAAGGTTACTAGTCAAGAGGCCCTCTCACACAGGTAATTTTACATTGTTGAAATTGAACAATTTTCTATGTACTCCTTAATCTTGCTTTCCCATTTTTTCCCCTTTAATCTCCATTAAATTTTAGTTTCAGGGTTTTGTTTATGTTTATTTTACCCACAGTTTTATCCAAACAATGCCAACAAGATCGCTTTGGTTCTTTCTGGTTCTTCTGCTTGTTATTTCGGATCAAGCTCAAGGCTGGAGGAGACGTCGCAGGCGACGCTGCCCCGTTACAAATTGTGTGGTGAGTGGCTGGTCCCATTGGAGTGGCTGTAACCAAGGCTGCGGATCGACTGGAGGCCAATGGCGAACACGTTATGTAGTTCGGGGGGCCACCTGCGGTGGATCATGTCCTTATTCACTCAGTCAATATCAAGCGTGTAGTGCGTGGTGCTACAATGGTGGAACTCCCCAAGGAGGAGTGTGTAGTTGCAAAAGTGGTAACAGTGGAAAGTGCTGTCAAGGAGGTAAACATTATTTTAAAAGGTTCGAGATCGAGCGAAAAATACTTTAATCCTTTAAGCCCTAAGACTGATCAGCATCAAATCTCTCCTTGTAATATATCAATGCTTCATAAAACAGGGTGGTCATGAGAATTACGGACGTGATCACACAAGATGAATTTACTTGATATTTTATCAACTTCTCCCCACTTCTTTTGTAGGAAATTAATGGGGGCAGCAAATGAGAACTCAAATTTTGATGTCAGGGTTTAAATCGTTAACGTCACCTTGAAGCTCTAAGCAAAAGTCACTTATAAAGTCCTAGTTCTTTGTTAGGTCTCTTTTTAACTCTAACGCAAACTTTTACTACAAAATAGGGTTAAGATACCGTTAGAGTTCGCTGAAGTAATATCCTGGGAAACAAGAATTTGAGAGCGCTGGAAAGGGATAGGCTGATAGGCCATCCAACTGTTCTTGCCTTTTTTTGTTGTTGCTGCTTGTTTGATAGTTTTTCTTGTCAAGTTCGTTTTTCGATCATTCGTCCGTTTTATTTTAATTTTAAAGTTAACGGTGGTTGGTCTAGTTGGGATTCATGGAGCAATTGCAGCCAAAGCTGTGGAACTGGTTATCAAGAACGTAATCGGACTTGCACAAATCCAATTCCTAAAAACGGTGGAACACCTTGTGTAGGGTTATCTCGTCAATCTCAAATATGCAACACGCACGTTTGCCCAGGTGAGGAATACTTTTAATTGTTATTGAAATTTTAGTTCATGTGTGTTTAAGTTTACCCTTTAAGAGAAAAAACTCAGCTACGAACAAGAAAGGGAAAGGAAATTTCCGAAGCGCCCGTCGCTGCAAAACTGAAATAGTTTTATCTAAGAACAGAATTCTGTTCATTATCTTCTTTTGTCAGTTTAATCTTGTAAGAATGAAGGGATTTATTCGCAATCGATTGCCGAAAGAAAAAAAAAAATGGCTGTCGACTGTCTTGAACAATGATGCTCTGTGCCCACTAATGTTTAGTTCCTTTTCACACTTTCTTTGTTAGTGTTTGTTTTTAGAGTATAATTAATTGAAGCGATCACGATATAGGTTTACGGGCTCTTATTCGCTGAAACTGCTGATATCCGCCCAATAATCAATCTCAAGTTGACTATAGCGAAGCTTATACCGATTTGCAGCAAACTAGGTAAGGTTGGAAACTAGGGTTTCTGAAAAAGAAAAGAACACATTGGGAAAAAATCAATTTCGAGTAACTCTTAAGCACTTCACTCTATTATTATGGAGATAACCGATATATATTTCAATGATAAGCACGGACCCTGGTTATAGTGAGGATTATAATCATACTAACAATTTAATTATACTAAAGTACGTTATTCATCTAACAAAAACTCGACTAATATTGTAGGCCTTTACCTCTTTCCTGCTCTGTAGTGAACGGTGGATGGTCAAGTTGGGGTAATTGGACTTCCTGCAGTAAATCCTGCGGAAGTGGGTCTCAGCAACGTTCCAGGAGCTGTACAAACCCAGCTCCAAGCTTTGGTGGTAAAAGCTGTCAGGGGGAATCAGAAGAAAGATACATCTGCAACACTCAGCCCTGTCCCGGTGAGAAATACTGTATGTTAAGGATTGCGTTGCTTTTTGTGGGCAGTGATAGTGAATAGCAATGCATGATAGTTCGATTTGTTTCCGAAAGAAGACGTTAAACATCATTTAATCTGAATCCAAACCGCCATCGTTAATTATTTCATTTCTTCGGGTCTATCTCTTATAACAAGACACTGCTTGGACATTAGAAACGAAATGAGGAGGAGATAAATTCTTAAGGATTTGAGGGGGCGTAGGTTACGTAGTAACTATTGACTGCCTTATGGCTAAGTGAGACTATTAAACAACTTAAACTGGAAAAAGGTTATAACCTTACAGTTTATAAATCTAAAGTAAAAATTCCCAATGATGTCTAGGCAATAATGCTGTAATATCTTCCACAATCAAAGGCATTGCCACCATCTAGGCAAAGATCGAGACCTTGCAAATCTACGACACCAAGGAAACATCAATGAAGAAGTCAGTATAATAAATAGGAAAAAAAACACTTTCCCCAAAGTACAGTACTTCGGTAATAAATAGACTTGTTCAATTTGTACACTAGAAGTTTCCATTGGACATGAAGTGCTGTGCAAGTAGAGTGCTGAAATCATTGATATCTCAAGTACAGGTTATAAAATGTAACGCGAATCACATCTTACCAACTGCAAACAATCTAGCAATTAAACACATACAACAGAGTAAATATGCAATATCGAATCTATTTAACCGTAGTGTTCCAGTAATTGCGTCAATATTCTGAGAAACCTAACGCCTCAGCCATCACCGCTATAACATTTTTATGTCCTACTTTATCGACGGTCGAGTATTGTTCAGCATATTTACCTTTCAATACGCGCGTATAATTACCCGAAAATCAAGGGCCTCAATTCGGGGAAAATTACATTAATGCCAGATCAACTTAGATTGAAAAACAGAAAATCGTTTTAGCGTAGCGCAGGAGTCTCACGCGCCCGTAGGACGTGTGAAGCGAGAGAAAAAATGAACCGACTCATCGTTTTCCGTAATGACTTCTTCCCGTTCGTGGTGTATTTACATTGTAGACATTACGTTTCTCAGAATATTGACGCACTAACTTCAACAATTTTCAAAGAAGCAGTACAAGCGCGTAAAAGCTCGACTTGATGTTGCACACGTATTTACCAGATACAAATCTCCAAGACGGTATTAAAAGGTCTTGCAAAATAACTTTATTGTAATACTTTCTGGCTTTCATTGTCTGCAACCTGATTGTGTGCTGTTTGAGCGGTCTAAATAACGCCCAACACTTACCGTGATAAAATAATTATTAATTATGACTGATTATATCAGTCATTTTTTTTAATTACTTCCACTCTAACCTGAATTTCACGCAAAATCATTTTTGCACGCGACATCGAAACCCGCACCCGCGTCAATCAAATCGTACCCGCGACTTTCAATCCACACCCGCGACATACAACCCGCCACCCGTGATCCACGACCATTAGTTAACCTCTCAAACAATGAATGCATTTTCCTTTGCTTTCTTTCTTTCTCTCTTTCTTCCAATTTTTTTTTTTTAGCACGATGTTCATCGCTAAAGGCGCCACAGTTCGGGTTTGTTTACCCTCATTTTTGCTCCTCACATCCGATCAGTGGAACTGTTTGTAACTTGGGTTGTAAGCACGGATTTAAAAGAATTGGTGGCGTTGATGAAATGACATGTGGAAAGGATGGAAAATGGAACAAAAACGGATCTTCAGTTATGAAGTGCTTAGGTATGTCTGGTTAAAGACATAATACGGTATAACATCATACAGTATAAGGATTAACAATAATTGCCCCCGCAGGGATTTCGCCCTGAAGTCGAAATTCGGAGGAGGCACTGACTAGTAACTCGCGTGCATATAAAGGAAAGTAATTACAGTTGAAATATAGAGTCAGTATGCCAGGAAAAAAAAAATCTCGATTTGCTTGAACAGGGGCCGCGAGGAATCGGTAGGTAGTGATGACGTTCTCTATTTTTCGCGCCCGCAAGTAAGAGATGGTTAGGTTGACGTAAAACAAAAAATCCCGAAGGGACTGCATTGGTAGATTTTGTGACATTTATTGTACGGTCATACTAAGATACTCTACTAAGATACTCTTTAGCCGGTTACATGTTATTAGGTGAGATTCTGTGGAGCAGCTGTTTTGAAAGTGATGGACCAAAATTAAAGACACTCGTAAAGCAGAGATGAAGTTATAAGCTGTGTAAAACTGTGTGTATAACGCTTGGAGAGTTCACAAGACACGAGTTCTCAAATCTTTGATTGGAAACAATCTGCAAGACACTCTTTATCGATCTCTTTGGGGGAATAAGAATCAGTCCCAAACAAGCGAGACGAGTGAATTAACGGCTAGATTATCACTAGCAGAACGATGGACGATTACAGAAATTCACAGACAATCAAATTCTGTGCTGACTTATTCCCTGCTCTCAGATGTCCTTCAGGGGGTAAAGTTTTAAAAATGGCTAGAACGCGCGAGCGTGAATTAATCATGATACGAACCTTTTAATTTCTAAGGCTTGCTTTCCGTAAAATAAAATGAACTGTTTGTAAAAAGAGAAAGAGAAATACTAGCCAAAAATTCCAACTTATAATTATATGAATCTTTTCTTATGGTTTAGAATAAACTTTTCTTGAAACTGGGAATGTTTTCAGATGAAAGCTGTGTTATGGAATATGTGTGAAATCTTTATTATGGATCGGTATATTTCAAAGACCTACACAACGACAAAGAATACTATTGCCCGACAATATACAGAGCGGAGGCAGCTGTTGTGTCAACTATTACTAGTAATAATAAGTGGTGAAAACGATACTAAAGCAGTGGATAGAGTTTGTTTTTTCTTTTGCACGTACTTGGCCACTCAAAGAGAGACCCGGAACTCTCGTAAGTTACGAGAAAAATGGCGAATTAATCCCTGCGTTACGTTATTTAGCTGACATACTCACAAATTAGCTTAAACTAAGTTAAATCATAGTTTAAAGAATGGTTTTAAATACATATGTAGTACGATTATACGATATGTAGTATGATTATGTTAATGAGTACTTGTTAACTGCAGATGTTACCCCTCCTGTATTCTTGAGCTGTCCGTCGGACATCCCTGTAAGTCCCTCTAAATCAACAACAGCAAACTGGAAAATTCCTGTCGCCCAGGACAACAGTAACGAGGATCCAGAGGTCTCACTATCTCTCCAGATCACTCCACCTTACACTTTTACTAAGGACACTGTCATTGTATATACTGCAAAGGATGCTCGTGGTAACGCAAGAAATTGTTCTTTTAAGCTTCTATTAGAAGGTGGGTTGGAAGATATCAGTATGCATTTTGCATCTTATAGTCAGTGGTGCCTTTCTGCCTTAATGTGTGCTCCTGTTAAGTGAAATGAATGCGGGCGTTAGAAAACGTGGAAAGCGGCCTCTTCTCTCCTCCGCAGAATTTTGATGGAGTTTTTTTTATTGGATTTCAGCTGGGCGAAGCGAACATTTGCAGACTTGAAAATCGAATGATCCACCTCCACATTTAGTTTTTCAGCAGATTAAGTTCTCTCATACCGTAAAAAGCCTTTAAGACTCTGCCCAGAAGGTGGTGGACAGAAAAACCACAGAAAATAAATATATATAAAATATAAAGTCTTCCATTACGCACTTGGTCATTTTTGTGTCTCGCGCGTTTCGCTCGCCACAGCAAGAAGAAAGAGAGACTGCTCGTAGTCTGGTTTAGGAAGCCGACTGTTAAAAAGTGGAGAAGCAAGACGCGTTCAGAAGTTTTGATTTAATAAACACAATTAACGGAATATCGAAAATATAAACTATCACTCGCTTACTTTTAAGGTTCTCAATTATTTTCAAGTCGATGACACTGACGTTGCAGTTTTTAATGTTTTTTTCCTTCTTCAGTCTTCCTTTTTTTTTTTCCCAGACAATGAAGGCCCTGAGGTCACGTACTGCCCTCCTGACCAAACCGTAACAGTATCTACGAGGAAATCAATAATCACATGGCCCAATCCACAGTTTCGAGACAACAGTAATGGTCCTTTAAAAGTCAAATGCAGTCACCAAAGTGGAACTGCGTTTTATTGGGGAACTTGGAAAGTGCAGTGCACAGCCCACGATAGTAATCCGAATAATGATCCTGCTCTTTGTCAGTTTGTTGTCACGCTCAAACGTAAGTGGTGTGTGACTCTGCTTCTTTTTGCTTAAAACCAAAAGCTCGATCTTTTCGGCGCTGTTATACAGTCTCCAGTATCAGCCATGTGTAGAAGTGGATAGCAACAACAACAAATACATTTTGTTGAACTTCGGCTGATATAAATCACTACATATCTATTTTTCCACCGGCAAATAGCCCGATAGAAACTAATAGAGGCCGGGGAAGGAAAGGTGCATTTACATAACGAGATTCTAGTAGATGGAGTAAACAAAATGATAACGAGAACACAATAATAATTAATAACGATTTAGAAGACAGACTAATTTAATGTGTAAAACAACTTTAGGAGACGGAGCTGAGGACTTCAACATATTTGTCTTCTGCCTGCAAGAAATGTAGTAGTAGGTTTGTTGTTTGTTTGTTTGTCTGCTTTCTGAAAAAAAAAAATCTCTTCATTGGATAAGGCGGAGCAGGATTCCAAATTTGAGTACCGATATAGGCCCCCAAAATTCTTATTTAACTGGAAAAGGAAATACATGTAGAGAAAAATAAACCAGAAGGTAAACAAAGAAAGAAACAAACAAACAGCAACAGCAACACAAAATACATTCTTTAATTGCTAACATTATTCCTTAGCCATGCAGGCCAGAAACCAACGCGTTTGTCACTGGTTATAAACACAGCTTAAAATACATGTCATAATTTTTCGCTTTCTTAAAAGGTTTACATTTGGAATGATTTTCATTTATATTCTGCTTAGCCAAAGAATGCCCAGACTTACCTCCTCCCAAAAATGGAGCAAAGGCTTGTGACGACTGGAATTTTGGACGAATGTGCAGTCCATTATGTAATGACCAATGGGATTTTAGTCAACGTCTGCCGCCATACGCATTTTGGATCTGTGGCGGAACAGGAAAATGGTTTCCACGAGCGCGCTGGCCGGACTGCTCAAGTAAGTTTCAGTGAATCAGGATAAGAACAATGGAGTATGAGTTCACGTAAATAGCCTACACTTGATGGGTTACACGAGACTAAAAGGTCTAGTGCAACAGTTGTATACAACATTTGCCCGGCGTCTAAACCAATTTAGGACATGTTTTAACACTCCTTTTACACTCTTTGAACACTTTGAAACACAATCTCCTTTTAAGGTCTCATTTGCTCGGTATCAAAAAAAAAGTTGAAACAGATCCCGTCACCTTTAAAACGGGTTTTCTCGACAGGGCTGAATCACGTACTACGCATGTTCGTGACATCACTTGTTTACCCAGCATAGCGCGAAGCACCAGTGCGAAGTGAAATTCATGCATTTGAGACCATCTTCGATCATCTGTTAAACTCATATTGTAAATGCCAAAGAAGGAGAAATTCTACGAATACGTTAGTAATGCAGCTTATGGAAAGAAATGTTACGTAAACCAGGGATCAAGGAAAATGTTTTGACTGTCCCGGCGAGGTTTTTTATTGTTTTGATCGTCAGTAAGTTTGTAGAAAGATGACTTAGAAATTAAGAACGAGCAATGCTGGAGTTTGGGCGCCTTTTCTCGATGGTAAGTAAACGATTTACTTAAACATTACTTTATTGTGGTTAAGGAGTAGCAAATCTTTGTAATGCAGTCGAGCGATAAGACTGAGCGATAACAGTTGTTGACCGTTTCTTGGTTGCACGAAAATCAAAGCCTGCAGCTTTGAGCGCGACGATACCATCACACACAAGAAGTCGTGAAAGTCGTAAACTTAAGTACAAATCTTAGTGGGATCAAAGAAACTTTTTCTTACATATAGCTTTAGCCGGCTTAGAGGTGCTGGTCGAGCTGTGGAATTAGTGTTTACTCGGTTAAGTTTGTTAAAAATTTAATTTGCACCTATAAGCTTATTAATGAATACAACAACAGCAACAACAACAACAACAACAACAACAACAAATTTTATTGAAAATTGGAAAATAACTAATTACATTACTTTCCCACCCTCAAATAGCTTATAAACTAATCGAGGCGGGGGGAGCTGAAGACATATTACAAAACAAGATTTATTTATAGATGGACTAAATAACAGTGAAGACACGACTATACAGTAAATAGAATTTAAACTAACATAAATCAAGGCAAGTACATAACGATAACAAAGAGAGGCTAACCTAAAGTATGAAATAACTTAATAAGACGGGAGACTTCGACATAATCATCTTCTGACCGCAAGAAATTTAGTAATAATTCCTTTATTTTTTACGAAAGGATTTGAATCAATCATTAAGCCGAGATATTTTACATAATCTTTCATTTCAAGGTTTGCGTAGGTGTTAGTCACGGAGTCAAGAATTCTAATCCTAGGTATGAAGGGCATATTCTTTTGCCGGGGACGAAAGATTACAAAATAAGATTTTTTTATGTTCAAAGACAGTTTGTTGGCCTTTAGCCATTCGTTGACATGGCCAAGCTCGCGATTAACAAGTGTTTCGAGTTCCTTTAGGTTGTTATTTGCAAGTAATATACTAGTATCGTCAGCAAATAGATAAAAGGCAAATAACGAAGAGGACTTGTAAATATCATTGATGTACAGTAGGAATAAAAGTGGTCCGAGGACTGAGCCTTGTGGCACGCCGCCGGTCTCGTGTAGATACGTCAGAGATTGAAATATTCCTGTAACAACCCCTCGCGGCTTGAATATAGCAACAATAACCCTCGACCAATCAGAGCGCGCAAATCTCTATATAATCACCTTTGGTAATTATGCTTATTGCCGATAATGCTAAAAGGCAAATAACGAAGAGGACTTGTAAATATCATTGATGTACAGTAGGAATAAGAGTGGTCCGAGGACTGAGCCTTGTGGCACGCCGCACAAGGTCGTCTCAGCCTCAGACACAACATTATTAACTTCCGTAGTTTGCTTTTGATCAGTCAGGTATGATCTGAACCAGGAGTTGATTACACCTCTAATACCATAATTTTCAAGTTTAGCTAACAAAATCTCATGGTTAACAGTATCAAAAGCCTTCTTGATATCGATGAAAACACCGCACGAAAATTTACCGTTGTCCATATTTTGGAGAATTGTGTTAACAATATCAAGTATAGCATGCTGAGTACTGTGCTTACTGCGAAAACCGTACTGTTGATCATAGAGAATGTTGCAATCTTTGACAAACTTGGTAACTCTGGAGTACATAAGTTTTTCAAAAATCCTGTTATAAATCGAGAGCAGAGAAATAGGTCAGTAGTTTTCGGGCAGAGTGTCATCTTCGTCCTTAAATATCGGGATAATCTTAGCACACTTTAGACACTTTTTTGACCTCTGAGAGTTGTGAACTTAATCGTTGCAGCTCTTTGTTGGCAGTGGTTTTGAAGAGAAGAAAGTCATCATACTCCTTGCTTAGGAATTCAAGGCTGTGAGATTTTTCTTTAGCAGAAGGGGCGGCACTGCTGCTTTGTTGTTGAAATAAATCTTTTAGTCTTGAAATCTCCTCCGTTAATGTTGAAACTTTAGATTTGAGATCGTTATTTTCTCTCTTTAGGTTGGCAATAGACTCAGGCAAAATATGACACACGAAACAAGATAACGAAACAAAACGAAAAAAGTAGAATAAACTCTTAACGCTTAAAGCTGGTGAAGTTTTGAGAAACAATCACAAGTTGACTCAGCTCTATGTGAGTTTTCGTATTAACGATAAGTTTTCCATTTATGACAGGTTTGAATAAAGTAGAACAATCAAGGAATGAAGTTGTAGACTTCAAAGAGAAAATAAAAGTTTACAAAGAGTCAGATTGTGCTCCTCCCTGTAATGGAGCTTTGAGAGAATTTCAGGTCATTGATATTTAATTACCAGCAGGCATCGACTATATTTGTCATATACAAAAGTTTATAATCTTGTGAGCTGAGCTAAGGATGAGTCATAAAGGGAAACAAGTTTGCAAGAAAGAAGAGAATTCGAAACCTTAGTGCTTGTTTTGTGTTCTTACAGTTCTTATAGTAAGTGAAACCTAGCAAGACGTAACAAGAGAATTAACTAAAAGGCGATCATTCAAAGAAAAATAAATAGAGAATAATACATGGTCGCGCGGAGATATGGAATTTATCTTCGAGTGTTCACATCGATATCGAACGAGTGAGCGCAGCGAACGAGTGAGATATCGAATGTGAACACGAGAAGATAAATTCCATATCTCCAAGTGTCCATGTATTATTCTGGTTATTATATAAACATACTGATGACGGCGTTTTCGATGATTTTCCGAAGATTTCCGACCACCTTCCGAAGATTTCCGAAGATTTTTCAAATTGTCCCGAAGACCAGACGAACGTTTCCGAACATTTTCCGAGAATTTCCGAAAATTTCCGAAGATGTCCGAAGATTTCCGAAGATTGCCGAGCACTTTCGAGGAAGACCCGAAGATGTTTCGATTATACACCAACGAATTTAAGTACAATTTAAGAGACAAACCTGATGTCAGTGAAATTATCGATATCTTCACATGTAAAAATATCGTATTTTTACGTGTGTTCAGATACCACATTTCTCGGTGGTAGAAATCCTTGTAAAACACTGCAGTTTATATAATAAAGATTAATATCAAAATGTACCCACTGAAATTGGATGCCCGGCTGATTTCTTGGAACTGATCACATGTCGATAAGCCGTCGTTCATTTCTGTTTTCGCTTGAACATGTAAGCATTCGAATTGGAAACAACCGTTCTGCTTCGTACGTGCATCTTCTTTTGCTCATAGCAAAAAATGTAAGAAAAATTACAAAACTGTAAACGAGAATTGAATGAAGTATGAAATGACCTACCTTCACGTTAAATGGGAATCTTAAATATTCAGAAACCACCTTATAAAAACCTGCAAAATGTAGGGATCATTTAGAACATCCTTTTGCAAACGATACTAATTTAGCAGAGCTGCTTCGTTCGTGTGTCTTCTTTGTTTCATAGCAAAAAATATAAGAAAAATTACAAAACTATAAACGAGAATAGAATAAAGTATGAAATAATCTACCTTTACTTTAAATGGGAACCTTAAATATTCAGAATCCACCTTAAAAATCGCCAAAATGTGAGGATGTTTTAAAAATCTTTTTGCAAACGATACTAGTTTAGATCCCAGACCTCTCCCATCTGTTCACATGCGCAGACGTTGTTCAGCTCTGTCGGTTTCCTCCAATCTGCAATCCAACCAGGCACAACTTCTAATATCGATTACACCGGTCACAAACTAAACTACGGTTTTTTTTTAATTGCGCCGTTCGCGAGGTTTTTGAAATCAATTGTTCTGCCACTGTATTCGGCGTTTCCCACACTTTGCTCTTGGTCTCGTGTAGAGACGTCAGAGATTGAAATATTCCTGTAACAACCCCTCGCGGCTTGAATATAGCAACAATAACCCTCGACCAATCAGAGCGCGCAAATCTCTATATAATCACCTTTGGTAATTATGCTTATTGCCGATAATGCATGTTCATACGTTAATGAGTTCTTTCTCGCCCTCGCAGAGACCGTTGCACGAATTTTACTGGGAAAAAAAATTGGGTGAGCCACCTTTTCCTACATTTCCTTGTGGTTCGGATAGAAGGGTGACTGCGTCACCATTTTTCGACAGTCACAATAGACAAACACCTGGCCAGGCCAACTTTTTTCGTATAAAGACTTTAGCTCGCCCCTCCGGTAGAAGGATAAATAATTCCGTGTTTATAATATGGCCAGTGCGGGGGTTTATTTGCCCGTGAAGCAACCACACCAATTTCTAACCCTTTATTAACATTGAACATTTATTTTTAGGGGTATATCGACCAAATCAAGTCAGAATGGCAATAGATCTGCATTACTACAAAGGGGACTGCACAACATTACAGGCGCAAAGGCAAACAAAACATAATTTCATTCAGATGATAAAAGGGTCCAGACTTTGGCAGACTTGCCAAGATCCCGTATTTGGTAATAGATGCACGGCTGACAACACGAAAGTCACATGTGCTAGGGTGCCAGCTGTTATTAAAAGAAAAAAACGATCCTCTGGTAAGTTGCTGCCGGGTCATGTTTGTACATGAAAAGTCCTTTTTTGAGGTCAAAGAAAAAACGCTATATTCGGGGAAGGAGTAAAACCTTTAAATTGTACTTTTATATTCTGGTTTTCAACTGCATCTTTAAACGACTCCTTTGGACTTCGGGGAACATTAAACAAAAACCAACAGAGGACGCCTCTTTTAAACGTTATCATGAAAGTAAACGCGGAATGGTCTTACAAGCTGATGCCATAATCATGAAATGGTGAATAAGAGTCGGAAATAAGAACGTTTTCTAACACGCTTACTCTGGCCCTTAGTCTGCTACACAGCTGTTTTCGGTGTCGTCACACGACGCTAAAACGGCTATGTAGCAGACTATCTGGCCCTGAGGAGCGAGCATGATTTAAGGTGGCTCCCTAGAGTAAATTGGCCGTGCGCAGCCTGAGCTCTAGTATGGCGCGACTTCCACGCAAAAATAAAACAAACATGGCTTCTCAGTTTCGAAATATTCCCCCAAAAAACTCTATTAACTTTCTGTTGAAGCTCATTGAGCAAAAAGTTTGGTTAGTTTAGGTCAAACGTTTATGAGAGGAGACAATGTTACACCGGTTACAAGTCACTATCGATCTCCATAAGAGTAAAGTGTATGTATAAACAAAGTAGAAATTTTCCAAAGACATCAATTCTTTCGCTTCAAAAGTGGACAAACGTAAACTAGTCGAAGTAAATTCTGAATGGAAATTTTACAAAGAATACAAAGAAGTAAGTACGCTATCCCTAAAGGAAGCAATGTTGCTGTTTCTAGTCTTTGGTTCACGGTCAGCGGAAAGATGTGAAAGATCTAGCCAAGTCCTGAACAAACACTGAAGAATGTCTTCACAGGCGGAGCTCCTTGGCTTACATTTGATTTGATTAAGAAATTCTAGAAGTGGCTTTAAGGCAAGATTGCAGGCAAGCGGTAAATTATTTTTTTTTGCCGACTCTATCACATTGTTTTAAAAAATTATCAGCCGAAAGGTTTCCTACTTAACTTGCATCCTGATCGAAGGAACCTTTGCATCGACGAACCAACATCCTTGTACTTTTTCTTGTTTCAAGAGTCCTTTAACGCTCAAGATGCACTAGGAAATGTTGTTGCACGACGAAAAATAATTTTTAAGTCACAGATTGACCCTTGACGAAAGCAATGGTAAGTTGTCCGTCGAGAACTACGACGTGCAGCTGAGGACGTGATGTACGTACGTTTTTTAGATCGGCACCATCTTTCACAGCAGACTTTTAAAGAAAAACTTCGCCGTCGAAATTATCCCTAAAGAAAAACAAGGTTGAAAAAGTATCCGGAAGTGGGCTGGCATTTGAAGATCTGCAGACATTCGTTACAGCTGATTAGGAAATGAAGGGCTTATTGCGATCCTTGCACAACCACCGTCTCCATCTCCTTCGATGATCGCCATCCGCACAATTGACCACCGCGGCTCAAATTTTGGCTACAATGGTCAAGTATTTCGAGGAAACATCCAGTGTTACGTATAAAATTGAATCCGCTCTCTCTCCTTTTTCAACTGGA